CTTCTTCTTCTTCTTCTTCTTCTTCTTCTTCTTTTTCTTCTTCCTCTTCTTCCTATTCTTCTTCCTTCTTTCTCTTTGCCTTCCTCATTATTACTCATTGATTTTTTTTGAACTAAGAGGGATCCAATACTGTGCCACTAATAGGTTATCTGATCAAGCCACGGCACCCAGTCTCATCAAGAGTCTTAGACCGATCACTTATATATTGAAGATGGAAGAAATATGGTGGGAGGGGACGGTTCTCATCCTAGCAACTCAGACGCGCTAAAAGCCTCATCGCGAAATAGGAAATCGGACCTGCTTTTGAACTAGGGTCGATCCACGATGGCTGCCTGATGTGGCCTTTATAGCACCTGTCATTTTTATTAGACGCGAGAACGCATGCTAAGAGCGGGATAGTGGCCCCCGTGTCACGTTAGCCACTTTTCCCCAATTTCATCCTTTTTCAGCTCGGTTCGATCAGGCCACTGAGACGCATAGGATAGAGTGAGGTTAGGTCAGCCCATATAAGGCGCTTAGTTTCTTCACACCTGATAACTGATCGTGTTTTGCACCTGTCGCGAGGTGCTAGTGTTCGTGACCTTAAAGTTTGCCAACTGATGAGATAACTCGATTCTTCTTCGGAATGCTAGTGCCTCTTTCTTCCTGTGGCTTTTGTGCACTCTCTACTGCTGGGTGACGCCCTTATTGGGAGCCAGGCCGTTTACGGTACGCTGTATTAGCTACTGTTTCCATGGCAACTTCCGTTCGTCTTCACCTTATCTGCTCACGCGAAACGGTGAACCGGAGACGAAGCCAGTGGATAGCATGAAAGTTATGGTCGAATTGTAATGATGGTCATCATCGCTCACGGCGGAACAACCACCATGATATTTCCTAGCTACAAGTTAACATGTCATCGTCTAGTACATTGCTCTCAGAGAAAAAGTAGACGTGATCGCTGGGACGAGAAATTTAGTCGTCTGACGTTTCGAAATCCGTCGCGTAAACGACACTGCCCTCTGTTGATGCCAAGGCCACTATGA